TGGCTGGCCCCGCCGGGCCCACTGCTGCCCTCCCGCACCAGGGAGCGTGGAACACGCAGGCAGTGCCTCCGGGGTCAGCTGAGAGCGGCCGTGGGCCTGGGGTTCGCGTGGTGGTGCAGAGCAACGCGGAGGCAGCGGCCAGGTTAGGACAAGAGAACACCCCAGGAGGTTCTAGCTTAATTTTCCCGATGGCCTGAGCTGCGCAGTGCTGGACTTGTGCTAAACCTTTGCATTTATGCAAAATAGTTTACAAGTGCAAACCACGTGCAAAGCATTTGAGTTTAGTAGTGACTGGCCACAACTTTAACTCTGCCTTTTAGCGCCCTGTCTGCAGTATTGCTTTGTGCTCAGTGTCCTGGATTTGAGTGGTAGTAGAGTCACCGCTTCCCTCCAGGATCTGTCCTCTTCGGGGGTTTGCTGGGGAAAGTACATCCTGTGGCAGTGTCCCAGACCCCATGGAGTAGCTACTCAGCACCAAAGCAGTGTCTTCAGCTGGTGGTGCTACCCATAACAGGAGGTAGAGAAGGAAGATCTTTTACTCACCTTTACAAAGCCCCCAAAAGTAAGTTTTGCCTATGCAATGTCCAAGGAGGAGAAGCTTTCAAATGCCAGAAAGGCTGGACACTCTTACCCGGTGTGTCTGGTGCACGAGGGCACAGCAGCCTCTGGGTTCCCTGTGTGCCAACGTAGGAATCTGTATCCAGGACAGATTTGGTGACTCCATAGGAAATGCTTTCTTAACATCAAGCTAATTCCCTGACCTTCCCCTCCACTACTATATACAGTTGCTGGCTATTTATATATGTGATGAATATGATTCAGAATTAAGCATGCCAGGAAGACACTGAATCTTTCAACCTAATAATTAAAAAAGGAATATAGCATGATTGCTTTGTTTCACCACCACATGAAAGAGAACTATTTATTTTTATTGTGGTTAGCTTAGTAGTAACAAACAAAATATTTTATTCCCATCCATGAAAAGCAATCTTTCCCATCTTTATGGGCTTCGTCCAAAGCGTGCTGGAGTCAGTAGTATTATTCATGGGCTTTCAGTTAGCACGTGACAGCAAATCTAGTGAGCCACATTAGAGCAAGAGTGCTCTGGGGCTACAAGGATGAGCACTGTACAAGACTTGGACATCCCGAGAGGGAATAATGCCAGTCTGTAGTGAGGGTCTGTACGGTGCTGCAGACCTTGGGAAGCAAACCCTTCAGTAGCATAGCTGAAGCACCCTGGCATGAGTCTGCTGCTGTGGCTGGACGTGTGGAGCAAGGGACATTGTGAGATTTTTGTGGTGTCATTAGATCACAGCTCATGTGAAACTGAGTGTTAGATGGTTTACATAGCCAGCCTTTTAGCAAAGTTCACAGGCATGGCTCCAACTATATGTATCAAGGCTAATCTCAATTACAACTTAAAAATGCCTCTCTCTTTGTCACTGTGTGGATGGTCTGGAAAGTATCGACTGATTGCTACAGCTGAAAGCTTGTCATGTTGATCTTTATCCCACCAAAGATCTTTATCCTATCCAAAGATCACAGTTCATTCAGCAGTCGCTGCAACCATTCCACTCTGATGGCTCTTTCATTTTTCCTGGTCTTGTTGTTTGTCTAGGCCTTTCATACAGCAGTAATCAAGGGAAGAAAAAATCAATTTAAAAACCAGAGACTTGGATTCTTTTAAAATGCTATAATAATGAGGAAATTCGGAATAGTGGCACTGGCATGTCTTTAATATCTTCCCAACTGGGAAGATGGTATTCAGGTTGATGACAAAAGTTGAAATCACTGCACAAATTTGACAATTTTGTCAAATCTCATCAAGGAGGATTTCAAAGTGGCCAAGGACTCTCAATGCAAAGAAGGAGGAGGAACTAGAGAGGCCACTGAGGTCTGTGTAATTTACCTTTTTTGCATCATTTGCTCTTGGAAGTCCTTTTCCTAGGATTCTAATCAAAACCTGTTGGAATCAGTTGTTCTGATCGAAATCTTGTAACAGCCCTTTCTTCTCTTGCTAAGTAGCCATGAAGTGACTTTCTCTTCTCTGCCTTATTTTTCCTTCCTCAGCTCTTCTGGTCCATGCATTTTCAGTTTCATAAATGTAGGAGGAAGACTGCAGTATCATGTCACTTAATGTTGAAAAAGGAGGAAAGGAAAAAAGAAAAGGGAAGAAAGGCAGAAAAACTTACATGAGGAAGAGACATGGAAGACAAAGGATGACGAGGGGGAAGGTAATCAAGAGGACTAAAGCATGGGAAAGAATTGGAGAGATCAGAGCAAGGGGTGACTATCACAGCAGGCGGGAAACAGAAGAATTGGTTACAGACAGATTTTATATTCTCTCCTTATTTCTTGTTAAGAGGAGTTAGTCAGGAATAAGTTCCACAAACACCTCTGAAGGGGCTGGAAAAAAAACCCAAAACTACACTGAGATGGGTGTATGTCTGTCTTTAATAATAGATATGATTGCAGCAGGTGTAAATAATTTGAAACAGTACCAGGTAACTTGAGTATCAATAGCAGTAAAAATGCAGCAGCACAGGACTGCCAAGTCTGTGTCCTGTTGGTATCCAAGGTAATGGATGGTTTTGAATAGGTTATTAGGGAACTCACTCAGCTTGTGTACTTTAATATTATATGGTAATCAGCTAGAAAAGCAGTCTTGTAACAGGGATTGAAATTCAGATTTCCCTCTCCCAGCTAGATACCTCAGTTGTTGCACTGCAAAGTGATGCCTTGCTTCCCTGGCCCAATGAATGTGTATTAGTTTGTTTAGAATAACAGCCTTTCAGCAGGCACAATGAAAGGCATTCCTCCCAGCTAGCCTCTGGCCTGGTGACATCCTGGGAAGTGCTGGCTAGGGATTCAGTGTTGTCCTCAGGACTCTCCAGGTCTAAGCTCTACCTGTTTAGCTGCTGAGGGGACCTCTCCATCCTCCAGCCATGCTTTTGAAAGATGCCAAAGTCTAAATGCAGACCCTGCTCCAGCATAACCCAAGAATTAAATGCTTTAGATGCCAAGAAGGTTAGGGTTATGGTGTCAGTAATTGGCAACTCGGGTGCTTCTCATGCTGGCTATTAGAGATTCTGGTCCAAGGTGTGGATGCTTCTGACATGGTGGGGAGTGGGGGTACCTGGCCCAGAGCTGGGGGCTCCTGGCTAGGAAACTGGCACCAGAACTTGGGGGTTGCAGCTCTTAATGTTGTGACAGCTTGGCCTGTGGTAGATTTATAGGTACATCTTGTCTTGGCTGTGTCTGGGAAAACACCATGTTGTGGATTTGTTCATGCTACACAGCAATGTGTTCACAGGTAATCCTTGGCATCACGAGGCTGACTTCTGTCAGGTATAATTCCAGCAGTCCAGAGGTTAATGTACTCTGTCTGTTGTGATTTTTTATTTTTTTTTAAGGTGGGGAGAGGGCCAGTGGAGACATGTAATGAACATCGATAACTGCATTTAATTTCCTTGGCAAGTGGTAAGTACTGTTCCCCTTTGTTTGCTTATGCTGACTACATTTAAAGTACTGCATAAAATAAAGCAAACCTTTCTGGAGGCCAGTGCCAATTTTGGTGGAAGAAAAGTATAGCACTACAGTTGAAAGTCTTCATTATCTTCTGAGGCTCAATTACAATGAATATTCTTTAATTTTTGCTACCACACACTTCACATTCATATGACTTCTTTTCTGCCCAAGGCCTATTTGAATAAAATTGTATACTTCCTGCTTTGACAACATACTGATGATGTATGCTAGAGAAAATCATTAGGAGTAGTCCTGCTGAAAATGTTGAAAATGTCTTTGGATGGTAATTTGGGCTGGATCTTGTAATTTTACTGGTAATTGTACCTGTAATGGCTACAAGTAATACCATTCTAAGAATCCTTGGTATTTCTCCTCCACAGTTCAGAAGGGAATCAGACAGACTGTGGGTATCCCCACAAAAAGTATTGGTGAACACATCACAGATCTCTGGGCTAAATTAATCCCTTAAGTGATTTTTTTTTTTCATATGCTTTTCACAAAAACAAGTTTCACTCCTCTACTTACAAGCAGCACTGGTGGAGAACTAGAAAATACTCCTAATGCTTTAACCATTAGACTAATTGTAGTTCACTTGATTCCCTAATGTAATAAAATTCTTGCTTTTGTGGGCCATTATCTGTTAGATAAACCCCTACATTGTTTGTGTTATTAATTATTTATTCCTTCCATTATTCTTAAATGCACATTAAAGAATTGGCTCATGGTTTTTAGCACAATTCATATGAACAACTCTGTTCAATAATTTTTGGAAGCATTTTCTTACGGCAAATAAATAAGGAAAACAGTTTCATCTTCTGTGGAGTTCAGATACCAGTTTAACAGTTATATTCCTATCAATATTTTGAGAAATCTAGATAGGAGTGTTTTTTTCCTTCCTGATATTAGTGATTGAGAATTTGTATATTATTCTTCTAGACTATTTTAGTTACTTTTCTATTTTTTCCAGTTAGAAAAAGAATTGACTAATTTTTCCCCCTTACTTCTTTAGTGTCATTTCAATAAGCTTACATAGTCATATGCAGAATGACAACTTTACTGTTTTGCACCTACAATTGTTACCCCTTGGTGTTTTCCATATATGCTGTTTCCTAAGCAAACATACTTTCACATAAGCGGATTCATGCAAAAATACCAAATGTGGTTATTTATCTATTCTGAGAGGAAAAATAAAGACCATATAGTGAACATGACAGCCTAGCAGAGTTATCTTTAAAATGGTATTTTCAATCCGTGTTAGCACAATTGAGAAGCTACTTGCCTTTATCAAGGCAATAGGGGAGGGATATTACAGCAAAGAAGATGGCTAAACCTTGAAAAAGGTTGCTGGCTGGGAGACTGGCTGCTAGGAAAGATTAAATCATAGATCGTGTGAAGATCGTTGAGATTCATATATTGCCACAATGTGAAGATTTCCAGCCAAACCTGCCCACTTCCTAAGAAAATATAGTGGTGTTCTTGACAGATGTTAAGAAATGGCTGAACAGAAAGAAAATCCTGGTTTTCAGTCATGTTGAACTGGAGCTGATATTTAAATAACCACAAGATCACTAACCTGGTGAATGACTTGGTCAGAGGAAAGAGAGAGAGGAAGAGACCTGTGAAAAATATGCCTAGCTATGCTAGCTGGATCTCTTTGCAGGTGGGACTACTTGGTGCAATAGACAGTGGCTGATAACAAATTTCCGTGGCACCCTGTAGAAAATTAGAGGAGAAACTGAAGGAGCTTTCCCAACAAGATGCTGGCAGATGAGTCAGAAGCTGGAGGAGTGGGAGATAATCTAGCTATTAGAGACAGCGAACAGGGAGTGGAGATTTTCAGTCTTGAGTGCAGGATGAAAAGCAGCCAGCATCACATATTCTTACTTTTTTTCTATTACTGATTGTTTCTTTGCTTCTTTCTTTGTTTTCTTTAAAGGAAAATACCCTTGCTTCTAAAAGTTGTCCTTAAGATCTTTTCTGTTCAAGCAACCATCTGTGGGAAAGAAATGAAGGTGAAGATAAAATTCAAGGAAGACACTTGCACAGACCTATTTGAAAGTGTTTATTGCCAGGAAACAAGTGCTTCTGAGCCTTTACAGGCTATGCCTCTGCAACAGCTCTAAAATATGCTTGCCTTCAGCTATATAAACACTGGTTAACAGAGAGGAAGAATTATTTGCACTAAGACTTATTTAAGGGACACTAGTAGAAGGAAAAGGTTACACAACCAGTTTCTTTTCCTACTTTTCAGTGGTTTCATTACTAACTCACTACAGACAATGTTTTGAAGAAATAAAATTTTGTTGAAGTAAAACCAATTCCATTCTTATCTGTAGCAGGTCAGCTATGTGAGGCTTGGATGTGAGATTAAGTTAGCAGAGTTTAATAAGTATCATTTGCACAGTGGTAAATGTGGACATGGGGATGAATAGGCTCTTAGTCAGCAGCCAATACATATGGTGTTGTGACTTGTTGCGACAGGAGAGAAGTCTAAGCTAACTTGCATGCAGTTTGCCGATTTTGCCTATAGCAAATGCAAAGTAATACACACTGACAATTTCTGCAGACCAGCTGATGCATAGTGAGTTGTTAATAGGTGCTGACTTGATGCTGCTTCTGAGCTCACAAGATAGTGTAATGTAGCGTACCACACTGCTCTTTGCTTAGGCTCTGTTTCATCAGTAATTTTTTTTCTGGTCTTTCAGTAAGCTTTTATGGGTTTCAGATCTCTGTGTATGCAAAATATGTATTCATTAGACACGCAGCACCTTACTATTGCAAGTTATGCCAATGTTCATACTAGCTGGAACAGTCCTGTTTAGAAGGAGGAATGGTGTATGTAAGTGGACAGAAACAACAAAGAAATGAGAGTAATTGTGATAAAGGTAGTGGTTACTAAACACAAACTTGTACTAACATAATAGGAAAAGCTTGAAACTTGTTCTGTGTGGCAACAAGATGTCCCCATCTGAGCGTTGCTGAGACAGGGTAGAACAAAACAATGCTGTGAGGAAGATCTGTTGCAGCAGCCTATGGCAGAATTTAGCACTGACTACTCAAAAGGGAACTGCTAAAGGTGAAAAGCCATGTAAGTGGAGAATGAAAACCTTTCCTTTTCTTTTTCCTCCTCCTCTCCAACCAATATGGACAGATGAATTCTAACATTAATGAAGGGACAGCATGTGCTTTTGATTTGGTGATTGAAAATGAATGCTGTTCTGTATGCGTGAAAGGTTACTGAATGGACAATGAGAGACTGGGGGAAAACAATTAGAGAAAACACAAAACAAGCCTTTTCTGCATGTCATTTTAAATAAATTGTATGCATCCAATGGGAGCAAGAAAATGAATGTAAATTTAGGATTTTTTTCCCTCCTGGGTGGTAACACAAGCCAAAGGGAAGAAGATGAGAAAACCCATATGGAATTTAGAGTGAAAACAATCCAATAGGAAAAAAAATTAAAATTCTTATTTGTACTTGATGTGGTTTAGTCCATGTTTTCCACTGCAACATAGATCACTTAAAGGTCTTACATGAACTCATGTCTAAAACGATCCTTATTTTCCTTAGAACAGGTCTGATGTATTATTTCTGCTTCCACGATACTTGTTCTAACTGACCAAATAAACTTTGCTAGGGAATAAACCCCACAACTTAAATGCAACAGCCTGCAAGACTGTTGTTCTTGGCATAGTTTTAATGACTGGACAGGCCTTACATAAGAAAACTTAGTCCTGTCTAGGGTTCAAGCCATGTGACTGTACAAATTGGACAAGATTACTGTTGAATCAGGTGCATCTGAAATAAGAACAACATTATTTTGTTGGAAAACTGCAGGTGAATGAGAAAGGTCACACATGTATTATGTGTTTACAGCACTCTTCACCTGGGATGCACTAGGATTTATCTGTGAAATTGTGTGTTGCTGATATTTCATACTGTAAAGCCATTGTAAACAAATTAGTTATTAATAAAACAAATTTTGAATTAATATTTTAGATGTGTTATTTTGGCTATTGTGCAGTCTAAGGATTAATTGGAAGTATAATGGATTGTAACAAAAAAGAAAAAGCCAAACACACAAAGTTACAAAATCATTAACACTAACATTCTCTGGGTAATCTATTTTGTTCTTTGTTTTCACTTCAGTTCCTTTTTCTGATAGGTCAGTAGTCCTGTATAGGAAGAAAAGGTAAATTGAAGTAGGAATGAACATATTAGTTTCTTCAGTGCTAGCTACTTGCTTTTTCTTAGCTGAACTTAAGGCTAGCATGTAGATAAGCCACTAAGATGCAGTGTCAGAATCTTTTGAAGGCAGAAGTCAGCTTATTTGCACACAGGATTCTAAAAACATGTATGTTTTCTATTGTGATGACCTTCTGAGTCAGAGCTGGAATGTGCAGCGGAAGAGTAGTCATCTCTGCTGTCCCACATGGCGCCCTCTTAACCACAAGCTCTTGCTCAGCCTCCTGTTAGTGGGCATTTGTCCATTTTTATAATTTTCCACAGTCTGAATGCAAACTGTAGTAACAAATAGCATTTTCTAAGCTCCTATGTATTACTAGAATTCTTCAAGGAATCCCTGTGTGCCTGATTTTTTTCCCCTACTTTGTATATATCACAGAACACTGACTGAAATACCCTACTATGCACATTGATTTGTCCTTCTGGATTTCATTTGCCATTTACAATGAGCAGCTTGCAGTGTGTTTAAAATGGCTACAACAGGCAGTGCTCTTACTAAGAGTTACTGATTCTGTCTCTCTCTGTGAATACTGATATAATGGATGGTGATGCCAACTAGAGCTGATTACTTCCTGCTCTTCAGCACTGCTATCTCTATGGAAGTTGAAGCTGCAGACTTTCTTAATTAATCATGCCAGTCTAGAAACTGAAGACCATATGGGCTAAGTATAGTGGAGCCTTCTGCTATAGTCAGCACTTCTTTCCTTTAAATACACAGCTTGGATGTAAGAAAGCAAATGTAATCTTTCAGGGACAACTCTGGGAATTTTAAATATGCTGTGAAATACTTGTGCAGTACACCTTTCCCAGAGACTGAATTCATCACTGTGGAGAATGCTTCTGAAACAGAAGGCTTAAACAGTATGCAAGACAGGCCATAAAAGCCTTAACCTCTCTTCCTATGTTGTATATAGTTTAGAAACTGCTGCTCATGAGGTTTTATCCAAGTGAAAAACCTGATGATTCCTGATTATAGACAGGGATCAGCCAGAACTAGTAGCCTAGGCTAGTAATAGAATAAAATGGAGTCCTTGAATTACATGTTTCCTGAGGAGTTTCCAAAGTGCTCTATAAAATGGTTAAATCATATTTCTCATACATAAGGAGAGTATCAAAGAGTTCAGTGACTTGCCCCATGATACAGAGAAAATCAGAGGTGATGGGGACAAGCATTCCTTCTCACTCTTACATCTATAAAGTCCTGGTTCCACTTCTTAAAGTGAAAATGCATACATTTAGGTTGTATTCTTCTTCATATTAGGAAAATTAGATTCATGAGTCAGAATGGTTCCACATTTTCCCTGCCTTTCAAAATCTGTATGTCCCAGAAAAGGGATTTTCATTTTAGTCACTTGTTCTCTTCTCACTATGGCTGGACTCCTTGATGGTAAAACAGGCAGTTAAATATTTAACAGTAGTGCAGTACTTTTTTCTTTCTGAGACTAATAGAGGCTTTCCTTAAAATATTTGTTTTTATCATATAATTGAAGAAATGCATTTGTAGCTGAAGATTTATGTTATAACACTTCCAAGAAGCAGTCTGATGGAACTTCTTTGATTTAATGTGTAAGGATAAATACACCCCAAAGAAGGCTTTCTCTGGTATCACATCAGAGTTGCTTGCATTTAAATTAGTGGGTCAGCAAGAAAGGACAGTGGAACCTTTTATTAGCAGCTGACTTCTCTCGAGTCTCATTTTACATTTTTGGTTCCAGCACTATTCAACTGAAAGGAGATACTGTAGGTAAAAAAAAAAAAAAAAAAAAAAAAAAAAGAGACAAGGAAACTGCTAGACACCAGCTTCCACTGTGTTCTTCAAAAATATCTGTATTCTCACTGATATTATAAAGAAACATCATGTGGCATGTTTCCTTGTGTATTCTCTGGTAAGAGCTTTTCATAAGCAAAGTCTATGATACAGAGTTCAGTATTTTTTTAAAGCTGTTTTAGATGAAGATGCTGCCTATTAGGTAAGAAACAAAGGTGAATATACACATAAATTATATTTCACCTGCTGAAATCACTGTGATAGTGATTTGCTGTTCTCTAAGAAAGTCCGTATTTTCCCTGCAGACCCTTTGCGATGTACCAGAAGACTTCAAAAGTGAATTTGATAACACCATAATTACTTCTGTCAGGAACTCTTCCTGTGTTGGACAGCCTGATCATTCCTTGTCTTTAGTGATGGAGTTCTTTGAAAAGCTGCAGGATGTCTTAATTTCCCTCAAATTTTGGTTTTGCGGTTAATTAGTGTACAAATGACACAGCCATTGTGAGATCTGTATAGATCTGTATAGAGCCTGTTATCACATGCATCAACAAGTAAGTCTGAGATGTCATGGGCAATCTCTTCCTTACTTTCTAGCTCTCTTCAGATCTCTTTTCAGCTCTAGCTGGACATAAGCACAGATATTTTTGTTGTTCTGGTAACACAGGAGAAGGTTGTTGATCATGAATTACAGAGCACATACAGACTTACAGGTCTACACTACCTATAAAATGCTATATAATGAATATGGCTGATAAACTTTTTAATGAGAAAGTATTAGAATAATAAAAACGATTTGTTGTTAAAGCCGTGTTTTCTTTGGGATACAGTGTAAATGATCTGCTTGAGCAGCAGATGTCGGGCCTAATTCATCCCCAGTGTAACCTTTCTGAACTGAGTTGATTTGCATGAGATTCATTTTGCTCATTCTTCTGGAGAGAGAGGAAAAAAAAAAAGTTGAGAATTACATAGCTAGGAAGGTGTCCAGTTCATATCTTATATATTAAACTTCTATGCCAGGTTTAGAGGCTCAAGTGCTTTAGTTTAATGCTGGAGAGTTAAAGAAAAATCTAAAGTAGAATTTATTGTCATGGATTACAAATCTTAATGACATTTTTTTTTTTGAGTTGTGCTATTAATGACTTTTTTTTTTCAAGTTGTGTAAACATAAAAAGGAAGCCCTTCCCTTCCTTCAATACTCTAGAACTTTTTCCTTAGAAATTTTAGGTTGAGTGACTTGTGTTCTTCCAGATGGGTATGATTTTTCTGTTTTCTTTTTTTTCTGTACTGCGTCAGAGGTGTAATAAAACCAAGTCAGAAGCTGTTAAACCCCTTGTTAGGAAAAGTCAGTAAGAGGAGTAGTTGAGAACCATGCTGCTATCTTTAATTAAGCATGCTGCATAACAGAAGTAGAGAGGATTCAGTGTCAGAGTACTGGAACAATTTGAAGTAGCATTATTTCAGAAACTTCCATAGGATATTTAAAATAAGTCATGTAAAGTTATTAGAAAATAAGAAAAAGGAAATGCATTACAATCATTAAAATCCCCTTCACATCTTGCAAGTGTTAATAATTCAAACTTAGATACTAGCCTACAGAGTGACTTTCTACCAATTACATGCTGCATGAATTTTACATTTGCTAAGTACTGCGTGAATAACCCACTGATTTCAGGGAGGGTGCTTTTCCCAGATGGGTGTATGGCATCTTGGCAGGAGATGGATTTCCTGCTCTCCCTGCAGTGAATTCACTATGGCACAAGCACTTACTTCATCCTGCTGCTGCCACAACTGTTCACAAAATCTCTGTTTCCTGATCATGAGTAACATTAAAATGCTTCATTATTTGTGTTATGATATAAAGATGGGCTTCCCTCACTCCAGTAAAGTTCCCTTGAAATTCAGGGTAGTAGAGATGTGAAAAGTAGAAAGAGATCCCATCAGGGAAGAGCAGTAGAAGAACTGTAGCAAGAATACAGTATGTTAGTTCAGGTAGTGTTTGGAACTTGCACGGTTTTGTTGCTGCTTGCTGATCAGCAGAAGATATGAACTACTGTTGTAATGCAAGGCTTTTTAAATTAAAGAGCCCATAATTTAGCTGCCTAAAAGTGCTGTACCTCAACCTCATTAGACGCTGTGAATTTCCGTAAGACTTAGGTAACCTTAGGAACTTATGTATGATTTCAGAAGTGAGTTAAGGACTAAATTCAGTTAAACATTTTTTACTTGTTTTCTGTCAGTTAATAATTAACTTAATCTGGAGAACCGTTTGTACTAGTTTACAAATGTGGTATTGGTGGTAGAGCACCATCTAGTGCAGGGTATCACCAACATAAAAGCCTTTCTGCTCATCTGTCACTTGTCTGTGTTTAGCTAATTTAATATGATGTGTTGGGTTGCATAAAGTGCCAGCCCAGTGGCTCCTGTGGCAATAGAATTTTGCAATTACATGAGAGATTGTGGATTGAAAATTATTTGGGACCTTTTGCAAGGACAACAAAATTGAATGCACTGAAGTTCAGGTAATCACTTGTGAGAACCATATACTCTTAAGACGAATCTGTTTATTTTCCTGCAAACGGTGTTGGGTGATATATTCATTATAATAATTCAATCCAATGTGATTATAAACTAGGTTGCACACTGATTCTCACAAGAGATTTAGAGATCCAACTGCCATTTTAGGTGCCTTAAGTACACTATTTAACTCCTCCAAGCCTTTGCTCAGCTTCTGCAGAACCTCAGAGCTACCCAGGTTCCTTAAACCAGGCATTCACAGGTATGCAAAACATGGACAAGATTAAAGATCCAACTGTCATTAAGAAGGGAAGAAAAGAAGAAAGGAAGGAAGCTTAGATTCTATAGGAGACAGGTAAAAGAAACTTAGGTATTTACAAGTTGCTGAGGAAGGGTGGAAAAAGTGAGCTACAGGGTTGTGGTTGTTTTGCAAAGGCCATATTTTGGTTCTTCTGCAAGCAGATAAACATATGAATTTGGCCCTGGGTTGTTTAATCAATGTTTGGATATCAACATTACAGTTTTGATGCAATCTTTTTAGCATTAGGGTAGGATTAAGAGGAACTGTCATAGTTTACTGAAGACATAGCAATGACAAGCTGGATTTCATCCTGCACTAAGCAAAGGTTAAGATGACCCTCAGGTACTTGGAAAAGATAATTTTTGGATTAATACTATGTAGTCAACAAAAAAATAATTAAGCATCAAAGAAACACTATCATTGTAAAGTTCTACATTCTCTTTGAACAAGCATTTTAACAGAAAATTATAACTTTTCTCTCTCTGAGCATATATTGCATATGAATTTTGGGAATGCTTGAAACCTTGCCAACTTTCCAATTCGCAGACCTGCTCTGAGAAAGCAGCAAGCATGTGCTCATACTAATTTCAAAGTAACTTCTGGTTTTGAAAAGCTCAATTTTTTGCTTTCTAAGTTGACCTCTTAATAGGGAACTAAAAAAAACAAGACAGAAATAAGTGGAAATTTTTGAAAATTTAGATATGAAGTACTTCCCTGGATAATTTTTCTGTTCTTTCTACCTCCTTCACAACTGCCAAAGAGAACCTACTACTGAAGAAAAGAAAAAAAGAGGGTATAAAAAGCTGCATTTTCATTCTTTCTGAGCTAATGAGGAGAAAACTGTTCACAGACCTGGTAAGCTGTGGTTCGGTTCCCCTTTCTGGGTATACCATTTTGCTAAAAGCAAGGAGGAGTAGCTCTGACAGAACAAAATGTTGTCCTTTAAAAAGAGGTTCAAGAACTGGTATCAGGAGTAACAGTTTTGGGAATGGTGGTGAGAGGTAGGCTTTAGCTAGGCAGTAGCGCTGAACAGAAGAGTCTCCACTGGAAAGCAGTACACCAAACTGTAGTACCTCAGCTCTGTCAATGCACACTAGACGTTTTAGGGAAAATAAATGTTGTAGCATATAAGGTTCTTTCACTGCTTATTTGATTCACCTGGACTTGTGGTTTCCATTCTTTCAATCTCCAAAATGTTTAGCAAATGGAAGAAAACAGAAGTAGACAACTCAAAATATAAATGTGTTTCCCTTGAACAAATATTACAAACATTTTTGATTACACATTGCTGGTAGCTATCATTATGTTCTTTATTAAATTATGACTGACAAAACATTTCCCTTGTTATTTCCTTGATTCTTATTCTTCTTCTATTTGGTTATATGATTTGTATCAAATGGTGTGTATTTGTTTTAATCTATTTGGGAGTTACTATGCTGTTCTGTCTAATGCCTGAACAAATAAACTGGCTTTTGTTCTGCTGTCTTGTAAGAATAAAGAATACCTTATAACATGTTCGTACCTGTTGAGGAAATAATTTAATATGAACAGGCCAGGCCAGGCAGATGTTTATCAGCAGCATTTTTACATTATAATGTTTTTTAGCTGCCTGAACCCATATTTTCTCTACTTATTTTCCTTTTTTTTGTGTGTGTAGTTTTTTGTTGGTTTTTTTTGTTTGTTTGTTTGTTTAGGTGTAATCTGATTTATCTAATTGAGTGAAACTGTTTCATGTGAACCTCTCTTTTCTTCCCTCCAGTTGTTTTACACATCCTCCCTCCCTTATTCCATGCAATTCTTTCAAGAATTCTTGCCAAACTTCTGGTTTTGGAGGATGGAAATGGAAGGAAAAATGGCCATGCAGGGAATTATCATTCAGCTGTCCTGTATTCATATCAATGTAGTTATGAATTGACTGATGGATTGCCAAAAGTTAGTTTCCATTATGTTAAGCTTGACTGAAACCGGCTGCCAGGTTCAAAAACTGTATTTGGACAGAGAGAGAGAGACTGACAGTCCAACCACAAAAGCAAAATTATTTTAGAGAAGGAGGAAAATAAAAGTGCCCAAGTTTGGCTCAGATCCATGTGCTTTTTAAAATCTTAATTTGCATCTTCTCAGCAGAAATAGATTACATTTCATCAGATAGATTTCTAGAAGTGCTCCTAACTTCTCCATGGCAGCAAGCACTAATCAACGATTCTTGTTATTACTGGCAATTGGAGTCTATTGTGGTGCTAGGCACAAAAGCTAGGGGTAGGCAGAGTCTCTCTTACAATTTTTCTTGTACAAGAAAAACGTGGATCTTCAGTTTAGAAGGGAGAAAGCCCAGGGAGCCAAGACAAGGATGTAGGAAAAGGAAAAGATAACAGGCTTAGAGGAAGAACCGCTTTGAAGTGACTGAACAAGGCATTTGACTTACAGATATATAAAGAAAGTAAATATCTGTAGCGTCAAGCACTAAGAACCTCTAAAATGCCAGATTTTAGTTGCACATGAAATACACTTCCCTCTACATATGCATCATGGTAGCCTATGTTCAAAGCAGAGCTGACATTAAAATTAGTTGCAGATTTTGTTATTTAGGCTTTCAGTAAAGTCCAAATGTCAATATATTGTATCTACAGATTCACAAGTCAGACTGTCTTCTCATTTACATCTCATAAAACTACTGGTTGTAGAGGAATTATTCTGGATTTATATATGCATAGATGAGAAGCAACAATCTGCCCATCTGTTTTAATTTAGATTGATTTGCTAAAAGATTAACTAGATAAATCGTCTTAATAAAATATTTAAACAATATTAGGTTCAAAGTCTGCTGGTCTGACCTTCATGACAACAGATTTCAGAGAATACCACCACCCATGCCAAGTGTACCAAACAATCCCGTTGTCTGTCTCGGCAGTGTAGGGGCCTTTGTAGTACAAACCGTTCAAGTTGGCAGAGTGACACCTGGTGGAAAAGTAAAGGAAAACAGAAATGAGGCCTCCTGTCCAAAAGTTGCAAGCACCTGTAGTTTCTGTGTGAGTCAAAAATTTCGCCTTGTTGAAAAAAGCCCAGTTTGACAGCTGCAAAAATTTGCATTTGTGGACTTCAGTGCTCCTAAACATTAACAAATTAATTAGGGCAGAACTGCAAGTTCTTAGCTTCTTGCAAAACAAAAGGTCTTTTTGTTCTTTCCACATACTTTTTGATGTTACTAGCTCTCTGAGTTTTGCCCACTAATCTGTTTCAGTGGAGAATTATTCCAGAGTTGCCCAGGTCAGGTGTGGCAGCAGGGCATACACCAAACATAACTCTGGGAAAGAAACACTGTTCTGCTTTTTGGTGTTCCAGAATAGCCCCTCTGAAGATTTGCAGTTACTCCACATGGTGTTTCATATGACAAAACCTGAATACCACTATCAGTTTGCCTATTCAAGCTGTGGACTTCTATGTACAAATAGATGAATTTGACAGCTAGTTAAACATATGTATACCGATTCACTGGATTATCAGAGCTGGCATTTTATTTGACTATATGAAATACATGTTTTTGTTGTGAAGCAGAAATGCTATTACAGTTTATTAAATACAGTGGTTAAAACAAACTAACCCCTAGCAAAACCCAAAAGGCTTGAATAGGTACCAGCACAACCTTGATAATCAGTTGGTTTCTACAATAAAGATTTTAGATCCTTATGTTACCATATGGAGAGCAAAACAGTTGTTTTTTCCACAGCATATTGTAATGAATTGGCTTACTTTATCTGCCAATTTAGTGCTTTGTTTTAAGTGCTTTTAATATCTAGCTGTCAAACACTGTGATGCTTCAAAAGCAGACCAGAAAATAAGCAAATAGAAAATAGTCCAAATGAACCTTATGGATATTAATACTGTCAAAATTTAGTCTCTTTGGCTTTGCTTACACTTCATTAACACCAGTTTTTGAGAACTGAAAATCTGTGATAAAATCCACATAGGAAAATTCATATATATATATATATATATATATATATATATATATATATATCCAGATAGCATAGAGCTGGATATAAAAAATTCCTTCATAGCTGGGAGCTCCTATACAAACCAGCCAAGAGCACTAATTCCTTCTATGTGTGCTAATCTGTGCATGACAAATACGTGTTCTGAGTGCTTTCCTTTCTCTGCCAGTACTGTTCTTTTGGGTAGGATTTAAGGACACTGACATTTTCTAGTATTTTGCAGGATCCAGTTTTATGTTAGGCTTAACATAAAAAAGTCACTAGCAAGGCAGTGGAATAATACTATTAGTAACTAATTTTCATTATCTAGATAGACTGTCACTTTAAGAGAATGAGCTACACAGCCATAATAGGAACTAGTCTGGTAGGGGACAGCTATCTTTAGTAGTTATGTAGCACCAACTACAAGGTATTAATAACTGTCAAGTTCTGCTGTACAGCTACTTTTGCAAAGGGATCATTCTTTTGTCCAGACCAATCAAATACTACCAAAAAAAAAAAAGTTTTAACAGGCAAAAAATATATACAATTAACTAAAAGTGATTGCTGATTCACTCTTAATGAACTCCATGGCATGGTATCAGAGGTTTATGCTACTTGAGGTATAGAT